TCTCGGTCTCGGTCTCTCTCTCTCTCTCTCTCTCTCTCTCTCTCTCTCTCTCTCTCTCTCTCTCTCTCTCTCTCATCTGCAAAGTGGGTTGGCTGCAGTGGGATCCAGGTAGAGCCAGTGGTCAGAGTGAGAAGTTAGAATACCTGCCGCTGGTTTTTTGCTGTTGTTTTGGTGACAGAGCCTCATGTTCTCTAGGCTGGCCTCAAACTCATTACACAGCAAAGACCTCAAACTCCTAACCTCTTATGTGCCCCCAAAGTGCTGGGATTTCAGGTGTGTACCTCCACAGCTGGCACACAGCTGTTTTAATGGCACCCGTGGATGACTGGCCCTCCCACTTCCTGCCCTGGGGCCAAGTGTCCAACTCTGAGCCCGACCTGGTAGGGACTGAAGAGGGGCTGGATATCCTGGCCTTGCCCAAGGTGTAGGGGATGACCCAGTACAGGAAGTCAGCATCCTGGGGTAGAAGGGGTGATGTCACAGCCTGAGCTCTGGCAGACAGGGATCAGGACATGAAGACCGACCATCTCGGCTGTTTACAGGATTCCCTCAGCACTTACAGGACTGCAGGGGGCAAGGCCTTCGCAGACATGGTCCCTAGATCCAGGGGCTCAGGGCAGCTTGTCCCTTACCCATACATGTTTGCTTGTTTTTCTTTTCTTTCTTAAAAAAAAAAAAAAAAGACAGGGTATCACTATGCAGCCCTGGCTGGCCTGTGACTGGGTATCCAGGCTGACACTGAACTCACAGAGTGCTGGGATTAAAGCTGTACACTACCATGCCTAGCTTACACATGGCTTTTTGATTGTTTGTATTTTGGAACACATGGTTCTTAAGCATCACTTTTTCCACAAGCACAGGCCAGGCCTTCCACTTAGACTACTCCTGAACGCAGGGTCTCCCTTAGGGTCTATGGCGACCAGCCCAAATCTCAACACTGACAGGACTCCCAGGGGAGGATTGGGGCTGCAGGCCTCAGGGCCACTGCCTGTGAGGGTGGCTCTCAGTAATAACCCAGTGGCTGCCTCCTCCACAAGCTCTGGGCCAGCCTGGCACGGCACCTCCATCCCACCTCCATCCCACATGCCCGGGCAGCTCCTCTGACTCAGGGAGCTCCAGAGGCTTCCGCCCCTGACTAATAACCATATGGGGGCGGAGTGGGGGTGGAGGGTCAATTCCACGTTCCTCATATCCCATGCAAACAGGAAAACCAAGCAAGGCAGAGACAGCAGCCAGGAAGTCCTTCATGGGTCGCCTGGCACCCAAAGGGGTGGTGGTGGTGGTGTCCCAACACATTCAGGAACCTGAGTAAGTCACAGACGCCTCATCTCAATTTCCTTATCTCTATTTCCAGGAAAACATGGAGAATAGTTCCAGGAGCCAGAAGGCCCTGCAGCCAGCAACACTGGGCCTTGGGCTCTTAGACACACCGGGGAGTTCAGGAATCCCTTGAGAAACAGCAGCTCAGACTTTGCACCTAAGCCCTGGGGAGGCAGGCGCTGCCATTGGCACTAGGGAGCTGACAAGGCATCACAGAGGTAAGTGGCTAGGGCAGGCACAAGCCAGGTAGAGGATCCCTGGAGGGGCTGCTGCCTGGGGTGGAGAGGCAGCTCTGAGAGGGCACTCTGCCAGCACCAAAATAAGGCCTGGGGTGCTACTGGGCCTAGAGCCAGCGGGAGGTTGGGGGGAAACACAAAAGAGCGAGCTTGTCTTCCACGGGTGGGAGGGAGGAATGGCAGAAGCGGGATTCCGGAACTGGGTGGCAGGGGCTGCCACACTGTATTTTTAGATCTTCCAGGAGCCCAAATTTTCCACTGCTTGACAACCCTCGGTTTTGCAGAAGTGCACGCATTCCTGGTAGCTTCCTGGGGCTCCAGGACAGCCTGCTGTCCTGCTCTGACCCCATTACCTTTCCTCCCAGGCAGTCTCAGCTCCCAGCAGACCATCTTCCTACCAGACTGGGGACCTCAGCTGGCCTGAGGCTCAACTCAGGAAGGCGATCTATCTGCACACTTGGCCTCAAGGAAGCAAAATGTATTCACTGTCCCCATATCCACAGACATGGCATGCACATGG